TTCCCTCGGTGGAAGTCTTCCTTGGGGGTTGGATGACTCGATCTTTCGTCAAGGATGCGATAGCACAGTTTCCCGGTCAGATACACTGCTCCATCAGATGACACCCCACGTGGCTTCTGTCTCTGTCATTCTACAAGCTTTTTTCTCAGGGGTGAGCAGGGATGACCCACCCAGCAAAGTGATGACTGGTGTGTATTGTTTTCAATTGTGAGCACCCCGTTTTGGGAAGGACCCCGATTACCTGGAGAGCATCCAGAAAAGAGTGACCAGGATGGGGAGAAGACCAAAGACCCCGCCATGCAAGGCTCATAGCTGAAAGAAGAGAATCCTTGGAGTGGACCATGACAGCTGCCCTCCAATTCAGGGTGTCCCAAAAGTCTTAGGGCAGTTGTCTGGTTTTAGAAGTTTAAAACTGAACTGTGAATTTGGAGATACCCAGTGTGTGAAGAGCAGCCACTAGAAATAAAGTTTAGATATACTCTGCTTGGTCTCAGAGGATGGAAGTGGCGTGATTTGTGTGGCACTTTATCATTTACATCCCTTGGAATAGCCCTATGAGTTTGGTAGGACAGGCTTTGTTATCCCCATTCTACAGATGAGGAAACTGAAGCTCAGAGCAGAGAAGAAATTTGAGCAGGGTCAAGTAGTGAGTTCAGTTCAACAAAAATTTTATTATAGCTTACTAGGTGTGGGGCCCTTCCTGGAGATACAAAGATGAAAAACAACAGAGTTCCTGCCCTCAGTGAGCTTACACTCTAGTGCATGTGACATGTACCCAAGTAACTGATATGCATCTCAGTAAGAGAAGTGTGGCAGAGGACCATTGGTGTCAGCCCTGAGCACCAAACGACGCCCTCTTCATGCCTGTCCCAAACCTCATTCCCTTGTCTCTTATTTATTGCTTCTCCATTTATCCTTAGTAGCTTGTATAACTCAACACAATGTCAGTGGAAATAAGTGGGATCCCCCATGAGTGAAGTTTCCACATTAAAAGAAAAAAAAAAAAGAATCTGTCCCTGCCCTCAAGGGGCTTCCATTCTAGAAGGAGAATACAACATGTATACAGGTGAGTAAATACAAGGTGATCTGAGAAGGGCAGTCAGGAAAGGCTTTGGGTAGGATCCTGAGATATTCTCCTGTCTTCTTAAGCAATGTGTTTATTCGTTTGTTTTTGGCAGTAGTTTTCTTCCTCTGATGGCCTTTGGCCATAAAGCATGAGAATCAAGGGTCAGGCAAATCATCACCCCTCTGAGCCTCAGTTTCCTCATCAGTAAAACGAGGGAGTTGTGCTAGATCTAGACAGTCCTTAAGGTCAGATTTGGGATTCTTTGATTGCGCAGAAGTGGTATAAAAGATGCCTGAAAAGATTTATGAATGGAAAGGGCGGTGGACCGGTTCCACGTTGAGAACCAGGAAGGACTGGTGTCTAACCCATGGCCTCCATTGGCATGTAGACAAGATACAAAGATATAGAGGAAGGACCCCAGCCCACTGAGTGGAACCAGGAGGGCACAAACAGAAGTCACACAAGGTGAGAAGGTATGGGATGGGCGGCTATCTGCCCTGTTGGAGGGATTCAACACTTCCATGAATTATACTGGAAGAAAAATGTACTTGTATCGAATTATGGCTCACAGAATGTTGAAGCTGGAGGGGACTGCCAAGGTCACCTAATTCCACCCTCTCTTTTACAAAGAGGAAAGACAGAGAAAATGACTAAAGGATAAAATTGATAAAATTATAAATGATAAAATCACAAAGAGGCCCAGAGAGATAAAATGACTTGCCCTAGGCCACGCAGCTAAGATCAGAATCAGGACTCAAATCTAGTCCCTCTTCTTCCATTTCTGGTCTTTTCTCTCAGTACCACAGTGATAACTCAGGGTCACTATTGTGAACACCTAGGTTTGGAATGTAATGCCTTCATTAACAATCAATCAATCGACAAACATTTATTAAGATATATAACAGGCAACACTGCACTTCCTCACCAGAGATTCGGTTCCCAGAGGTAGAAATACTTCAGGAGAGAGAAGGATGCAAACCAGGAAGAGTGTTCTCTAGACAGGGCCTTTCCTCCCTCCCCAGAAGGCTGCATAGGGCCTTAGACCTGAGAGAGCAGTCTGACCCTCCCCCCTCATTTTATAGATGAGAAGACTGGTCTAAGGAGACTGAGTAGCCTTGCTACTCTCTATGGAAGTGTGGGGTGCCCCCTTTCTCTTGGGATGGACCCCGAGCAGTGACTCCATGGCTATATATGGCATCCTGGTTCCACCTTCCCCACGACTTCTCTATGCCTCAGTTTCCTCATTTGTAAAATGAAGATGACACATAACCAGGATGTGTGAACCAAAGAGTGTTACCTGCCAACAAGAGACCTGAGATGGGACATAGTTGATGATCCAGTGCTGAGGATACTGGAACATCCCCAAAATTAAAAAAAAAATACACACAATAAAATCTTAGACCCAGAAAGACCCTCATGTTTCATAGGCAGCTAGGTGGCACGGTGGAAAGAACACTTAGCTCAGAGTCAGGAAGGCAAGAGCTCAAATCCAGCTTTGTGGCTCCGGACACACGACAACCTCTGCCTGCCTCACTTTCCTTAGCTATAAAATGGGGATAAAAACAGTTCCTGCCTCCCAGGATTGTTGTGAGGATCAAATGAGATATTTGTAAAGCACTTAGCCCAATGCCTAGCACATAGTAGGTGCTTAATAAACGCTTATTCCCTTCTCCTTTACCCAGAGCTCCCTCTACAACATTTCCAAGAAGTGGTCTCTACCTTAGTTTCCAGGACGGGGGAAACCACTTCAGGATTCGGAGGCCCCATTCTGCTCAAGGGCAGATTGGTTAGGAAGTTTTCCCTTATACTGAGCTGAAATCAACCTGCAGGGAGCTTTCACTCCATGTACCTGGGGTGTTCCTGAAGGGTTTGTTGAATGAGGTCTCCTGGGCTGTGCTATGACTCCATGGTACTCTCTGGGGTTACTGGGGTATGAGAGACCATTTGCCCCAACACTGAATGTCCCCTGGCTGGCACTATCAGCAGGGACTCTCCTCCTGGAATATGTTTGCTTCTCAACCGGTCACCTTCCAGCCCCTCCCCACCCCTTCTTCTAATCTGCCCACCCCCTGAAAGAAAGCTGAAGTCCAAGCTTCATAAGGTAAGGAAGCCTAATTTAATGCATGATTCCAGATCGACAGGTGGTCGCTTAGGGGTGCTTCTTTAGTGAAATTTGGTGAAAGCTGCTCTTGGATCTATTCCTGACGCGTTTCCCTGAGGGGCTGCAAGAGATGCTGTGAGTCATACCGATGGAGGAGGGAGTGCTCCCCAAAGTCCCCTCCTGGCCCTTCGCACCACATGGAGGCAGGGTTTGAACCCACGTCTTTACTTGCGAGGTTTTCATTGTAGTATTGTGTAAATTGTTCTCTGGTTCTGCTCACTTCCCTTTGCATCAGTTCAGATGAGTCTTCCCAGGTGTCTCTGAAGCCGTCCCCTTCCTCATTCCTTAAGGCATAATCATATCCCATTTTATTTGTATATGATAACGGAGCTGTGTCTTCCTCACTCTAAGGTCTGTCTTCCGCCTTCTCGCATCACCACCCCACCCCCATCAATCCATCCTTTACAGATGGTGAAGTTATGAAATTGAGTCCCATAGAGAAGTGAATTGGCCAACACCACACAGTTAGATACTGGTAGAGTCAAGGCTGGGATGGGGTCTCCTGACTGCTAATTGGTTCAGCCAATCTGATTATACTGCGCCTTCAAATGACTTCTATACACACTCAAAAAACCGTAACAGCTGGTTGATAGTATTAACAGTAAATGAATGATGTCATTGAGGTCAAGGATGATGAAAAAAGGAGTGTGGCTGGTCAAAAGCGAAAGGGAGGAGGGGAGGACCCAGAGCCCCACTGAGGGAGCCTGTCCAGCACCTGGGACCAATCTGGAGGTGAGGGGTGGGTGAAGGAAGGGAGAGAGCCTCAGGATGCTCTGAGACTGCTAGGCACCACCATCACCTGGACCCTGGGCATCTTATGTCATGGGGGTCAAGGGTAGTTTGCCCCGTTCTGGTGCAGTTGTGCCAAAGACGGGTCCTGGGAAGTGGAGGAACAGGAAAGGACCCTTAGAAGGAGGCAGCTAGGCATCAAAGTGGGACCTGAGTTTGAATCCTGCCTCAGCCTTACTGTCTGTGTGACCCTCAGAAAGTCACTTGGTTCCTCTTAGCCTCAGTTTCCTCATCAACAAAATAGAATAATAGCACCTACCTCACAAGGTGGTTGTGAGGATCAAATGAGATAATATTTGTAAAATGCCTTGTGAATTTTTAAAGTACAGTATAAATGCTGTGTGTGTTAAATAAAGCACTATGTAAATGCTATAAATAAAACTGCATTGATACGGGGGCCAATATGGTTGAGGGGAGCACGCTTCCCCCCATTCTCCTCCTCTGAGCCTAGCAGCCCCCACTGGCCCTCTGCCGGCCTTTACGCAGGCTTCAGGGAAGACACACCCTCTCCCAGTGGTACCTGGGCACAGCCAGAGCCGTTCCAGGTTAGTTATACCTCTGAGTAGACAGCTTGAGTCCTGAAATATTAGCACAAGAGAAAGGCCCCCTCCTCCCTAGTTACTGGACTTGGAATCAGGAAGGCCTGGTTTGAATCTTCTCTTAGCTCTGTGACCCTGGGTCAGTCACGTAACTAGTCCCTTCCAGTTCAAAACTGACCTGCCGGTAGAGTGTATATGCCAAGGGACAGACAAGAACTACGCGTGATGAGAAGGCATGGATGAGTTTCAATCAGCATTAGTGGACGGACTGCTCACATGGATGAGTTCATGTATCAATAGAAGCATATTGAGAGTCATAATAATCCCTCACATTCACTGCATATGTATTATATGTAAATAACCCCTCAATACTTTTCAAAGAACTCTCTGATCCACAGTTTCAGGAGATTCTTACAGAAACCCTGTGATTTATGAATGTCTCCATTTCATAGATGGGGAACACTGAGGTGAGGGAAAGTGACTCAGCTAAGGTCACACAGTGAGTTGGAGGCCAGGCTAGATCTGGAACCCAGTGAGGACCGCTGACCCCAAAACCCTTCTCTGGCCCTAGGAGTCTGGCTCAAAGTCAAACAGCTCCTCAACTTCGAGGGTCCCACCTGGCCCATCCTTCAGTCCGTAGTACAGATCCTCCTCATCTTCCTCAGGTTCCTCCGGGGCTACTTCAGACTCCTCCACCGGGTCAGGAAGGCCTCCTTCAGAAGCTGCCTCCTTGGGATCCGCTGGCCCCGGCCTGGGCCCAGGCCAGAAGTTTGGAGAAATACCCTGGCTGGGACCTGGGGAGTCCTCATCGCCCCCGGTGGCATCGATCAGAACAAAGTCAGGGTAGCGATCGGGCTGAGAGTCTGCCTTCTCGGACCAGGGCTCTTCACCCTCCGGAGGGGATGGGTTCCTGCTGCTGCCACTGCCATTGGAGTCCAGCTCATCTTTAAAGGAGGCCAGGGGGGCAGCAGTGATCTGGGGACCAGTCATCTGGCTGTGGAGAGCAAAGCCACAGAGCAGGAGAGGTTAGGGGAGACCGGCGGAGGACAGCGGCAGAATCCCGGAGCAACGGCCCACACCAATGTTAGTATAAACCCCAAACGTTCCACCACCACCACCATTGGCTCAGAGAATCCTGCATCAATGGCCTGCTTGATACCTCCTTGGGACATGGGGAAGGACCCAAGCTCTCCCAGTGGAGCCCAAGCTCCCAGAGAAAAACTTCGAGGAAAGGAGCATCCCTCAGTGGACTGGGGTGCTGTCTGAGGCCAAGCCCAGCTAAGGGAAGACTCAGCCTCAGAAGGTGAGCCAATAGGGGGACCGTGTGTATGTGTGTGTGTGTGTCTATGTGTCTGTGTGTGAGAGAGAGAGAGAGTTTGTGTGTACATGTGTGTATGAGAGTGCGTGAAGGTGTGAGTGTATGGATGTGTGTGAGTGTGTGTAAGTGTGAGTTTGTGTGTATATGTGTGTGAGAGTGTGTGTGTATGTGTATGTGAGTATGTGTGTGTTGTGTTTTTAATCATAGAAATCCATTAAACATGATGTAGCTCTTCTCAGCAATACAATGACCCAAGACAGTTCCTAAGGACCTATAATGGAGAATGCCCTCCACCTCCAGAGAGGGTACTGATGGCGTCCAACAGCAGATCGAGGCACACTCTTTTCACTTTCTTTCTTTTTTTTTGGTCTGTGTTTTCTTTCACCACACAGCTGATGAGGAGCTACGTTTCGCATGACTGCACGTGTGTGACTAATATCAAATCATTCACCTTCTTACTGAAGGAGCAGAAGAGGGAAGGAGAGAATTTGGAGCTCAAAATTTCAAAAAATGAGTGTTAAAAGTCGTTTTTATGTCTAATTGGGAAAAACAAAATATCAAGTTGGACAAAAAAAGAAATCCATCAAAAGTCTAATAATAATATCAATTAGCATTTGTATAAGACTTGAAGGTTTGCAAATCGTTTTATATTTTCTATCTTATTTGATCCTCATCCCATCCTAGTGCACCAGCAGTAGACCAGAAAGCTGGCCTTGGAGTCAGGAAGACCTGAGCTCAAATATGGCCTCAGACACTTACTAGCCATCTGACCCTGGGCAAGTCACTTCAATGCTGTTTGCCTCAGTTTCCTCAACTGTGAAATGGAGGTAATAACAGCAGCTACCTTGCAGGGTTGTGAGAATCAAATGAAATAATATCTGTAAAACCTTAGTACAGTGCCTGGTGCATAGTAGGTGCTTCATAGATGTTTATTCTCCTCTCTCCCCACCCCCATCACCCCCATAGGAATGGAGGGGGTTGTGATCAATCTATCAACAAACTTTTAAGTGTTTTCTATGTGCCGTGCACTGTGTGAGCCACTGAGGGTACAGAAAACTGAAAAGGGTCCCCGACCTCAAGGACCTTCACTGTAATCACGCCCTCATTACCCCTGGCCTGGACCACTGCAATGACCTCCTAACCAGTTTCCCGACTTCCAGACTCTGCTCTCCAGCCCATCGTCCACACAGCTGCGCACAGATCTGACCATGCCACTCCTAGCTCCCAGGTCTCCACTGGCTCCCCCTGGCCTCCAGAACAACTAGAGACCTCTGTAGAGAGGCATTCAGGGCCTTGCCCAATCTGACCCTCCACTGCCTTTCCAGACTCAGGCACGTCACTCCCCCTCAAACCCTCCAGCCAAACTGCCCCTGTACACTCTCCTCCCCAGCCTCCACACCTATGCCTGGGCCCTGTGTGCCGTCCCTTCTCACCTCCTCCTCTCAGACTCTTCCTTCAAAGCTCAGCTCCGTGCCACTGCCCACATGAGCTAGTGCCCCTTCCCCCTAAAATGACCTTGTTTGTGTAGGTAATGTTTAACTTGGCCTGTGTTTGGAACGGATGTGTGTGTGTGAGTGTGTGTGAGTGAGTGTGAGTGTGAGTGTGAGTGTTCTCTCCTGATAGAATGTAAGCAGCCTTTTTATTTTTGCCTTTGTCTGTCCTGCCCGGACCCAGAACATCATTTCTGGGTGCGTCAGAAGGTAATCCTACCAGGAGGGTCCAGCTGCCCGCTCTGGGAGCAGAACCTCGTGCCTGGTGAGGTCCCATGGGTACTTTCCTCCATCACATGCCCCCCCAACCTCTGACGCATCCTCCTCCTTCTTCATTGTTAACCTCAAAGCCCCTCCCTCACTGTATTCTCCTGGTGGCACCGGTGGAGGCCACACTGATGCTCCTCCAGCCCATTCAAGGTGGCCTACAGCAGAAAAGTCTAAGTGCTGCGCCCACCTGCCACCCAGCGGAGAGACGACGCAAGGTGCTGAGAAACCATCCGTCCTTGTCGGAGGGGAGGTCCTCGATCCCCTGTGATTCTTGTTGGCTGTTCTCACAGAACTTTAGAAGTCCTGCAATGCCCCTCTGCCTTAGTGCCTCGTTTTCTGCCAGAAGCCTCACAAATAGTAGTCATTTCCCACCAGAAGCTCTAAGGGTCTCATCCATCTCCAGCATTCTTGGAGTCTGCTATTGCTATCTCCCCAACTAAACTGTCAGCTCTTTGAGGGCAAATACTGCATCCTTCCATCTCATCTCTTCCACAGGGCAGGCCCAGAGCCGGCCCCAGAGTTAGTCACTGGCCTTCCATCACTAGGCTGGGGGCTGACTAGCTGATTTCTGCCCTATTTGGTATCTGCATCATATGTGGAATCTCAGAGCTGGGCGGCTCAGCGGTCATCTAGCCCAATCTATCCCCCAAAGGCCCCCACTGCACAACATCCTCACCAAGTGGTCCCCAGCCTTTCTGGAAGACCTCCAGCTGGGGGAGTTCACTGCCTCCAAGACCAGCCTATTCAACTTGGGCATGGCCCTAACTGCTAGAAAGTTTTTCCTTGCATCAAGCCTAAATTTGTATATTTACAACTGTTTCCTCCCACCCCCAATTGCTCCTGGTTCTGCCTTTTGGGGCCATGCAGAATAAACCTGATCCCGTCCCCACAGGACAGCCATTCGCTTCCCGGAAGCCAGCTCTCATATCCTCCCTGGGCCGTCTCTTTTCCGGGATAAACACCCCCCAGCTCCTTCAGCTGTTCTGACTGACCTGGGTCAGAGGGTCTTTCACAGGTGTCCTCCCATCTCGTGCCTCTTCCCACCCCAGTGCCCCATGGGAGCCTAGGATGCTCACCTGGCCTCAGGCCGACCTTGGTGGCTCTCAGCCTCCCCGATATCCGGGCTCCAGTGGACCACGACGGTCGTCTCCGTGGAAGGCTCCGAGCGGGGGCCCCTTCCTTCTCCTCCAGCGTGGAGCTCGGACTGGGGCAGGCTCTGGGCTGACAGAACGCCCTGGTCCTCCCCGGGGCCAAAGACCTTCATCTGGATGTGGCGATAGTCAGCCGGGCTCTGCCCTGAGGCCTCATCTTCTTCCAATCTAGAGTAAGGAGGTTGGGAACTGGAGGAGAGAGGAGGAAAGGCTGAGCTGGGGAAGGGAGGACAGGGGCATGGGAAGAAGAGTGGACCACTCCCATAGTCCTCAAAGAGCCCTGTGACTAGGCAGGGATTATGACAACTAAGGAAACTGAGGCCCGGAGGGTTGTTGTATTTGTGTGCCCAGTCCTGGGCACACAGTAGGCACTTAATAAATGCTCGTCGATCAAGTGTTTGAAGTGATTTCAATTCACACAGCTAGTAAGAATCAGAGCAAAGTCCAGGGTTTTGGGGTTTTCCCCATTTTCACACTGAGTCCTATGGAGAGAGGTGGCCCCAGAGGGGAGATCCCCCTGTTGGTGAGTGGGGTGGCTTGGGACTGGTCTCCAGGTCTCCCCGTCCCCTCTCTCCTGTGCTGACCCATCTGCCCCACTGTGAGTGGGGTCTCCTGTCTTTCCACTATCCTAGTACTTCTTTTCTCCAATGGTCTATGAATCTGTGTGAGTATTTGTCCGGTTTTTGGGTCTCTGTGTGGCTTTACAGGAAGTGGCTGCCCATGGGGCCAGGAGGCGTTCTCTTGGGACAAATGCTGAGGCGGCTGTGGTGTCCAGGTGTGTGTCCTGCCTGTCTGGCCTCCTGGCTGTCCCTCAAACAGGACACCCCATCTCCAGACTCCTGGCGTTTCCCCTGGCTGTCTCCCCTGCCTGGAATGCTCTCCCTTCTTGTCTCTGCCCTCCGGCTTCCCTATAAGTCTCAGCTAAAATCCCCCCTTCCACAGGAGGCCTCCCCCGTCCCCCTAATGCTAGTGTCTTCTGTTTCTTGATTATCTCCAAGTTGTCCTGTCTATGGCTTGTCTGTCTGGTGTCTCTCCCCTTAGACTGGGAGCTCCCTGAGGGCAGGGACTGTCTTGTGCCTTTCTTTGCATTCTCAGCGCTTAGCCCGGTGCTTGGCATACAGAAGGAGCTTAATAAATGCTTGTTGATTTGAAGACTTCCCCAGGAAGGGTTGAAAACACTGTCTTCCTTCATTGTTGCTGTAGAAGGAATGTTAGCCTGGAGCCAGCAGTTCTGGGTTCAAATTCTGACTTTGCCACTCACTACCTGTGTCCTTGGGCAAATAAATCACTTCTTATCTCCTGGCTTCCTCCTCTTGAAAATGAGTCCTTTGGCCTAGCTGACCTCGAAGGTCCCTTCTATTTCTGATCCTAGGATTCAAACACACATCCTACTTTTTAAATTTTTTTTTTTGGTCTTTGTAGTGAGATTTTTATCATTCAGCTATTGCCAAGGGTTTCTCCCCTTGACCTTGACTCGGGGGCAGGGCTGAGTACAGCCCAGGGCTCATTAAAAACAGATTGGGAGTTGTTGAGAGGGAGGCCCTGGCCCTGGTACCTACCCCTTCTTTTCAGGAATGCTGTTCTCGGCGGTGCCCAGAGCCTTCGGGGACAGGAAGCTCTCAAAGTCCGCGTCAGCCGGGACGAAGGCGATCTGTGGAGCAAAGGGGGCGGTCTGAAGCTGGACAAGCAGAGGCTCGCCCCCAGCCCAGCCCAGCGCCTCAGAGGGCCCCGGCTCTGAGGGAGGCACCTGGGGGCCCTGCCTTGGCGATGCCCCGATGGAGACCCCACTGAGCTTCAGCTTTCCCCTCTCGCAAATCCTACATTGCCTTGTTCCTGTAACCTCGGGCAGAAAGGGTTGTGGAAGCCTTTCCAAACTCCGTGCAAGTGGGAGTGCTTGGTATGGGAGTGATCAGAGCTCCTTGGCTAGCTGGGGACCAGCGGAGACCACAGGGCTCCAGGCTCCCAGGCCACCAGGGTGCCACGGACTGTGTGTATCTGTGTGTCTGTGTGTATCTGTGTGTGTGCATGTGTGTGTCTGTGTGTGTGTGTGTGTGTGTGTGTGTGTGTGTGCGCGCGCGTGCTTGATGGGCAGGTGAGACTCCCCAACTGTTAAATTGGGCACAAAGGAGCTCGTTACGATTCCACAATTGTGGGGTTTCCCTGAGGAGGCTCTGTAGTGTGGAAGAGCTGTATTTGTCCATCGGGAATCTTTGCATTGGCTAATCCTTGTGCCTGGAATGCACACCCTCCTCATCGCCCACCCCTCATCCTCTA